GATTCTTGATTCAGTAGTTTACGTTAGTAGTTGTTTTACAACAACAGTGGACAACAGTTTGGGAAATTCGCCCTGAAGTTATTTTTTTGTCCAGACATTTATTTCCCGTGGTCAAGATAGCGACATCTCGTTTAAAAGGCATTTTTGTAGATTTGCATTCGTGTTAAGTGTCGTGTTTTCCTTTAAGTCAGTCACGTATAGCTGCGGTTGGATTTCTACATATGAGTCAACTTTGGCTTTAGCAATTATTTAAGCGTTGCTTGACACTTCTTATCTTAATTGTCCCTTCATTATAATTATACTACATAGTACATATAGTATATAACGTAAGAGTAACATAAATTTGCGTCTTGTGATGTGGTGTCTACGTTCACATTGCTCATGTCCTAAAAACCACTCGTAGCACCACAAGGACTAATAAATGTTATTAGGTACGTTTAAAGATTAGTTTATCGGTATTCAAAATCTGTCAAAAGTTTATTTGGTTTTTTAAATATTTCACTAGTTCAAATACTTCTTTTACACGACGTCACGTTTTGATAATTTTTTGGCGACTTCAAGGTGCAAAAGCAATAGAATTGCTTAAAACTTCTATATGTAGACTGTTGAACCTTTTTTTATTATCTCATATTGTAAGTATTTCAAAACACGATGACTTATACCACCTGCTTATAGATTTAAAATAAATATTTAATAATACTATGAATGGTAAAAATAAATTCGTACCATTTAGTCGCATTGTAATTTAACAAAAACATAACTTCCGAATTGGGCTCAAGTCTTTCTCAAATAAGAACACTGTGGTCAGCCATAAATTACACACAATTTCTTCCTTGCTTGTTTATCGACAAATATTACAAGAAAAATGATGAGTTCTGAATGCCTCCTAATGAGATGGGTACACACAGACTAGATTAAGTTATTATCGACAGATTAAAATTAAAATCTTATAGGTCTGCGTGACTAATCCGATATGAACCACGTGACACAAAATATCATACAAGTTTAAAACTGGTTCAAATGTAGTTTATTATGCAACGGAATGTCACTGTCACTTATTATTGAACAAACTTTATTTTAATCCAAACAACGTCTTCCATGTAAGCGTGACTGAATATGAGACATTTACATTTCACATATATGCAGCTAGTTTGGAGGTGCTCTAGCTGCAAAACAAACGATAAGACAAAAGTTAGAATGATGACAACAACACAACCAATTTTGTAGCCTAACAGCTTCTTTTATTGTTTCTTGGGATCTGAAGCATAATATACCAGATAAAAGAGCAATACCAACGATTGGGAGGAGTTCGTGCTTTTTAGGGTTCAACCTCGGACCCAATAGATAAACATAAACAGCGCGATTTGGGATAAACTTGATGGATTGCATTACGAACGAAACCAACCAGGGTGTGAAATACTTGTTGATAATGTATAGAGATTATATACACTAACTTTTGAAAGGCTTGATGCATCTTCAAACAGTGTGTGGTTATTAGTTTTTCGATATAGCGTGTCAAACATATTTTTTCGGTTTTTCGTGCTATGTAGGTATTTATAATTGAACTTATCTTTGAAAATATCTTATGATGTGATTTTATATTTTGTAGATGAAATGAAGTAACTTGTCAAATTAACAGAAAATATTCTTTCTTGTTGTTTATCGAATAATTTTAATGACCACAAAGAACCCGTATAGATAAGCAAGTTCCTTTTACATATTCTTCATAGACAATGTTCATTTAAAATAAAAATGATATTATTTTACTGGAAATAATTTATTTGCCGCATGAATTTGCTCTTTATTATTTTTGATGCAACACCACGGAGTGCTTTTCATAAACTCGTTAATAAAATGCCATTTATAAGTGTCCAGATAACATCTACAAATTTTCGCAATGCCGAATCTTTACAACTTTGACCTATTCAACAGAATGATTAAATATACCTTATACTGGTAGTTCCAAGCAAGACGTCCATATGCAGGCTTGATCAGTGACCCTATTCTATTTAAAGTCGACCAAATACGGTTTTGAACAAAAAAATATATGAATAAGATATGAATCACACTTCTAGTAGCAGCGTTTGTGCATGATTTAACCAGCTGCAAATACAACTTTGACGGCAAAAGTAAATAATCAAATGAATTATTCAAGGGCATATAAGTTGTTATTACGAGATCATTTGCACGTTGACGTCTTCTATCAAAATACTAAATCCGCATAGCGTGTCACAGGTATTAACTTTACATTTCCGTGTTCATAGATTTGACGCATTAGGTGTTAAAATCATCTATTTATTTTTGTAAGACATATTTCTTGTCCATTTCTAGCCTGTTGACAACATACAATCACAGACGCAAACGAGGAATAATGAAAAGCAATTTTTCAAATTTGACTAGCATCTTTATCACTGTATATGAAAAATGAGCGGTATGCTGTTACGTCTAACGTACCAAACTACAACTTATCTTATACTTCGTAACATCGGAATTATTTTTTAGAATATTTTGGTCTCTCGAACTCGAAATCACCAGTGTGCACAAAAATCCGTGCGTCATTGGAGTAGGTGCAAGAAGTAGTAGTCTTTTTTGCATTTTCGCTTTCTCTTATTATCACTAATCAGTTGATTGAAGACCCATTTTGTTGTTCTTCTTAATCTGTTATCGCCCACGTTTTGTTATTGTTTACCTTAACCAACATGATTTTATTTTTTGAAGTATTTGTAGCTTGAATATTCTGTAATTTCGATTTCTTGTTATTAAGATGTGAACTTTTACCACTTGTCAGTTGGTTTACCGCCATGAAGAAGGAATTACGTGATAATATGTAAACGAGAATTTACTGTGAATTAGTTCAAAAACTTAATCATAATATTGAGGCATTCACTTCTAAAAATCCAACTGATATAGTACATCTTATGATGATATATTGTTAGCGGGCTGTCCATGATACATACTTTCTTTTCCATCTCATACCACCCCATAGCATTTCCATTGGACTACAATTCAATAAAGATAATTAAATTTATGAGAATTTAGGTCTAGTGTCTACATGTACAAAGCGACATGCAAAACGACAAATTTATTGACTTTGTTAAATTTAAAATTCAGAAGTATTGTCAACTATGACAATTCAGTATTATTCTGGCGCTTTTATTCTATTTTTGAGCCACTCTGCTCATTCAACAAATAATAATCTGTTTCCGCTTATGGACAGTTTCAAGTAAGTCAGTTGATCCGGGTAATTCCTGAACTTCAATTTTATCAATTATTCTGTTACATGCAAATCTGATGTACACAGAGTTTATAACAAGAGTAGGTACCGTCCGCTTTCGTAACTTACTTAACGACTATCTGGCGCACTAAATAAGCGCTCTACTTCTGTCGATGACACTGATATTGTCAAAACAATGGAATTTAGCAATGGAAAGCGGTGTTCATATTTCCAATAATCTAATGGTTGGGAATTCGGTAATCAAGTTGCTATGACATGGCTATAGTCCCGTCGAAGATACAAATGTGGGACCTTCTGAAGTATGTGCACTAAGATGGCGCACAACCTGAACTTAGTATGTGGACCAGGTTAGGGTTCAGGTTTTGCGACATCTTGGTGCACATACTTCAGAAACACCCAAATGTGTGCTGTCCCATTCCCATGAATAAGCCTGTATATTAGACAGAAGAAAATTGCAAATCAGTAGCTCTACTTTTCAATGTGATGAACAATTCGTATATGTAATCTTGTATTTTGACAATACAGTTACATGGCATTTATCAAAAGTTTGCATGATCTTTGTAAATTTTGTCAAAAAAGTACGCGCTTCGTCTTGCTAAATAACTATGTAAACTTTCGCTAAGAGTCATTGTAATCGTGCAATTTTCTTTATTTATTATGGTTTTACAGGAATTTACAGTCGGGTATTTACGGTGTTTTGTGGCAGTTTAATAATGACTGTCAGGTTCATCCATCATCATTTATTTTCCACACATCACCTTTTTTTATTCTAATTAGAATAATATGGCAATTTTATACAATCAAACCGGGTATAGAAATTTCGGACCTCCAGAAGTATGTGCACCAAGATGGCGCACAACCTGAACATAGTATGTGTGCCAGGGGAGATTTCAGGTTGTGCGCCATCTTGATGCACATACTTCGGGAACTCCGAAATTTCTTCTTTTTTCTTGCTCAGTGAGCTAATTTTGATTTTACTTGTTCCATTTGCACAAAACAGTTTTCTTCTTTTTTCTTGCTCAGTGAGCTAATTTTGATTTTACTTGTTCCATTTGCACAAAACAGTTTTCTTCTTTTTTCTTGCTCAGTGAGCTAATTTTGATTTTACTTGTTCCATTTGCACAATACAGTTTTACGACACTGCGGGCTACACCCCAAAAGATACAAATTTTCTTGACGGTAGCGAATTTAGTTCAATACCTGAGGTCAAATAAAGCTGTTTTTCTCACTCGCATTTCGCTGTGTTTGCTTTTCGCGGTTATATCACAATGTGCCACGCCACTTCGTGAACAACCCACTACATATAATATTTGTTTTGTATGCAGTTTCAGCTATACTTAGAGCATAATTCAGATTGCAATCAAGAAACAGATCATAACACAACTATGAATCGTTTTCAAAACAATTATTCCTATTGCGCATTCGGCACTTTGACACTTGTATCTCGGCGCAGATTGCTTTTTACGTTGCCCGTAAAAAATCACTATTCACCAGCTTGAAAATGTTTATGTTACCCCGGTAAATGGAAAGAAGTCGAAAGACTAACTCGAACGTTCTAACGATAAGTGTGCATCATCGGGTAAATTCCAACTATCACTTGAGAAGATTATGGCCTAAATAGATGGAACCTTTTAATCTGGAATTTCTAAAGACTGAAAACTCTTCCCTGGTACAATTTTACAACTCTAGTTTTTTTCTGGTTTTATTTTATTTTTTTACTGCATGAAATGCAGTGAAAAACAGAAAAGACGTAAATTTTATCCACTGCTTGCATATATCAAAGGGTGATGAATAATGCAGAAATATAATAATTTAAGAAAGAAAAATGAAAATCTAAAATTTCAAAGTCGATAGAGTATGGCGTAGAGTAGTGCAAAATACGGCAAGCAATAAAAATTAAGAGCAGAAATGAAAAATATATTGTGCTGACTAATTATTATTATAATATTGATGACACTAACATTCCAAGTTTAAATTTGAAATAATATATACTTATTTTTCAAATAGGTTTTGGCGCCGTACTCCGCCATACCGCGATAAATCAAATATTCCGATCAATGATAATATTAAACCAAACTAACACGATTTTTTTATTTATAGGTTGTGAAAGAAGCTCAATAAAGTAACATAAAAATAAACCACGTGTATCGTGATTTCGCGATAAATAATAGAAACTGTTCTACACGATTTCATACACTTGGTCTAATTCATTTTACATTCATTTTTAAAAAACCTTTTGACAAATGATTACTTTCGATGAAATCCGCCATTCATTTTTATTCTCGTTATTGAAGACATAAATTAAGCAAAAAATGAAAAATAAAATTGCCACAAGTGTTCAAAAAAAGTTGGTTTGATAAAACCAAAGAGTGCAAACATAATAGGAAGAAAAGGCACAGCTATTTCATGCACAGTATCGCACCATATACAGTAGAAACGTTCATCGGGAAATATAGTCTTTATACAGGCCTGGAATAGCAGTAGTAAATCACAAAAGTGGTCGACAGGCCGTATTCCGCGATTTGCATTTCATGCATGTGCAGTTCTGCGCCACTGGTACGACGTGATAAGCGTTAACTCCCGGATTACAACGTCGCAATCTGATCTTCCTAAATTCGATTTTGGTTGGTCTGCATACTCGGTGATTCGTTTTAATGAATGGTGGATTCACATCAGGAATCTAAAGAAAAAGAAAATACAATTTAGTTTACATGTTTATATTTGGGTAAATGTTAACATCTATTGTACGTAAGTTGAGTGTGCTTTTACATTTTATTTATTCTTTTGATACAGAACATATATAGTAGCTATATACTATGCCTATATTATAGTTATAGTATTATTAATAAAAAAATTTCGATGCTTACCTCCCATGTTTCACACATTCCCATACATATAGGAGCAAGTACAAAGTTTGTTCTGCATCCTGGCTTGGATACTGGAATCCATTGTTTTGTAAGTTGACATCCTCCACATTTAACCTTATTTGCAATCATATTTCCAGTCGAAGCTCGTTCCGATATTGTAGCAATAGAGTCTCTTCTCATAACGCTGGAAAAATCCAATCTGGCACCGCGTCCGGCGGTCCTGAGATTGTGTAAAAATTTACGAAAAGCGACGAAGTCATGATCCGATGTTGAACGTCTGGGACGTCGACGATGTAGGTTATGTTCCGCGGGGCTTGAGGATTTCGAGACAGGCATTGGGTCGACGGCGACTTCGATGTCCGTGTCGATGACTTGTACGTGTCGCCGTCTCCTAGATGACCAAGATACGTTTCCGTCGGCGGGAACAATTAGAGATCCAATGATGTATAATATATATATCACAATTGGCAAAAATGTTTGCTTCCTTGAACAACACTTTTGCATCTTTAATGTATTCATATCTTCGGTTGATGCACTCGTATCTTCGGTATATTTCATATTTTTGTTGATATACTCTTGAGTAGATGATACAGGTATCAAGCAATTTCAGATTTGATGCCCGGGTGATGGAAAACTGCAGTATTTAAAGATTTCTAAGCACCACACTTTTGCACTTGTGTCAACAGAAGAAATCCGCTCTCTATTTATACCAGTTTGTGCCGCAGAATGGCAGTACGAAAAAAGTCCCAATCTATTATTCACTGCTTATCTCTTCATGATGATCTTTTAGTTCGCAACATCGCAAACTTTATTTCATATAGCTGACTGAAGTTGGCGACGGCTCGTGCGTGAGCGACCTTCATTATTTTCAACACAAAAATGTGGAATAGGGTATTTATTGCATAATTTGCATTATCGATAGATTATCTTTCGTTATCTGAAATCAAGATAAGAAAATTAATTAACAATGCAATGAAAGATATGATTAAAGCACCACCACCAAATTTTTTACAAATTATTTTGAATATGGAAAATAACATTTAAAAAGTTGGTAATTTGGCTAAAAGCTGACCTTTTACACATAAAACAATACCACGCGATTTCATACATATTAGAATGAGGAACAAGTCTTTAAATTAAAACACTAATAAAATTTATTCCTACGTATTCATTATTGTATTTTTTGTTTTGGTATAACTATAGTTGTATATCATTTAGTTTGAAATCTCAATAATGGCGTATTAGAAAAACTTATGATCATCACTTGTTTTTACGTTGATTTTCTCAAGTCGTTGACATCAGTAATGATTCAGCAGTTTTTGAAGACATATATCGCCTTGACCATTGAGCGTTCACTCACATCGTCGTTTTTGAGAAATCACCCTCTGTTAAATAAATGGCCAGCCAGCTTAAAACTAGTCCTCTGTGTTTCTAAAAAAAACAGTCATATATCGTGACTTAACGTTTCAAATCATCCTCAATTAAATGAATATTTTGGAGAAAATAAAGACGGACCATCGTTCAAAGTTAGTAGAAGGGGGTTAGGTTGATAGTACGGATGAGTGTCAACCATAAAATTTGGCGGATGTGCGTGAGGAAGATATCTTTTATCCTTACTCTCATCGAATTATCTTTGATTTATACCGAATTGTATCGTGTCATCGAAAATCTTGATCAAATCTGAGTAATCTAAACATTAAATAATAATTTTTGGGTCAATATTTTGAAACAGAAAACGATTGAATTCGTAGAATCGTATATACTCTCAATAACCACTGAATGAATTTGACTATCACTTTGGACACGAATACTTTTAGGTAAATACATTCAATCATGAAAACAAAACAAAAAATGTATAAAACTCCTCTTCAAGAAGCATTGCGAAACTCCGAAAAAATAGGCGATATTTCTTGGTGTTTGCGCCATCTTGTGTGCACATAATTATATTTGTTTTGCAATCGGAAAAAAATAAAAGTTGGCATCCGTATTGTGTTTTTGAAGACTGATATATCTAAGCACCTGTATTTGTAACACATTTATTTGTTGCAGTAGAATCCACAAACAACCACTACAACTGCGATAACAATTTATATAAAAGTATTGGATAGTATGGGTATGTGTTCACAGATTATTCATCTCCCCCATGCTGGCAAATTTAATATTTCTACATGAAAAAATTCGATATTATTTTGCATATCTAGCTACATGAACTTAATAACTCACAACAGCTCAACACGGCTTGTTTGTGACCCTATCTTTATTGTATATGATGTAAAACTGCATCATTAACAAAGCGATGAAAGGTTATATCTTGTTGTATATCATGTATTGACCACACCACTTTTACGTAACTATTCTAAAAGATTTAATGATAAGATATAGTGCGATTGCCACTTTGTTGTCATATAGCTTACGAAGGTGATTTTTGCAGATATCACCTTGCAAGCATTGATATTGCTTAGTTGCCAAAAAATATTGTGTCCTCTTCCATGTTTATTTATTTGTCTAGTATCCAAGTTCTCCGTACATAGACGTCATAGGTTCAAAACCTATCCGGCCCTATCCTTCACCACACCCTCAAATTTCAAGGTTGATACTTAATATGTTTCCTCCCATTCAATAACTTAAACTGCAGTAGGGGCATTATTGCATTTCTCATTACTAAAATGTGCTATTTGGTTTAGTTCGCCTTAATGTTTTCTTAAGAAGTTGCATATGACAGAAGAGAGAGTATTGAATGTATTACTTGTTTCTACCATACGTATATATTACTATCAGAAAACAGTTTGGTGTACGGAATCATTCGTATTTGTTGTGTAATCCTGTCAATGAATGTACTATTCAGTGTGTTGCTAGGCTCAATCCAACTTGTTCAAACTTTTTTCTCTGAAAAATTTGAAAATATTGTTCATGATGTTCCTCAAATATCAATAATTACATTTCCAAATGTATTTTCTCAATTGATAATAAGCAAATTTTGGCATATTATAAAGTTTTGGTATGCGCCATCCACCGACGTCCCCAAATTTCAATGGTGTTTATTAATCGAAATATTTCACAAAAACATTAATCGATTTCATACCAGTTAAATACCATTGTTAATGTTACGTATGGACGTCATCGGGCATCATCGTTTGCTAGTTCATTTGTAACGATAAAAATAGGTTCGACAATTTGGTTTTAGTATCTGATTGACGTAGTAGATTTCCAATATCTTGAAAGCACCTCTTTTCAATCTGACGTCAACTCACTCGGTCTTTCCAACTGGTATTTGTTGCGTAAGTATTTAAAGTATTTGAATATATGCAATGGTATTTCATGAATATTTTTGCAGGCTACGCACGTAAAATAAGTACACCTCATATCTGTTTGGCCGTGGTTAGAACAGCCACACCTACGCGTATGTCTTAGATTTTTAATGCACTTGCGGAAATCAGTCTGTATACGTACATATTTTTTTTTGTTGTGGCAGAAATTCACTAATGCACTCTTCTCGTTTGATCTGAAAGATGGATTTCTGTCTGATTTAAAATATAAAAAAGTTAAAAAATATACAGTAAATGTACTTCCATTCCATAGTTTATAATGAGTCATTTACTCCAAATATTCTCACCAATGCATCATCTTAATTGGATGGGGCCACTAAGAATCACGACCGAAGATTGTTTGACCGAAGAAACTTTATTTTCCAAATTAAACCTCCTAAATCAAATAGTTGCAAAGATGAACTACCTAAAAGAAATCGTAAATGAAATTTTTTTTTAAAGTGCCACGTATCTTGTGAAATAATCTAAAATTACATGCCCTGCATACTTTGACAGTTCATGGTGGAAACAAACATGACATATCGCAAAGAGTTCAAGAAGGTCGTTCTGCCTTAATCTAAGCGATCAACAACGAATTTGCTTACCACAGGAGTCCTGACTACCGTGAGTTAATGAAAAACAACATGGTTCGCCGTGAAATTGATATCCCAGAATCTCACCAAGAGTGCGAAAAAATGCTCACCTCATAAAAAATCTCGTCCAAATGTATTGCTCTAAGAATAATACAAAAAAAAATTGTTGATTGTGAGAATAAAGGGCAACGCTTTTTTCAGGTTTGTAAAATATGATGAATAAGTAACTGTTTGAGATTTTAACAAGCTTGGGATTTGAACTGTACGTTATAATTTTTGTATTGATTGACGCCATACGCCATACCGAAGATTTCTTCACGTGGGTGACATTGGGACGAGTTCCTCTTATATCCTCACAACGGTGTAGTGGCGTAGAACTTTGTTATTACTTTTTCGTTTTCATGAATGGCTATCTTTTCATTAAAATTGTAGGATTTTAATCATGAATTCACCACTGCTGCTATCAGTTTAAACGGTAGCGGTAGTACTGACTCAAATCATTAATCTTCTCTCTGCGGGGAAAGGCAAGTGATGGTATTGAAAATCAAAACATAACTTAAATTAACGTGTATTTGAATATGCACCCTTCGTATATACGAATGTTGAACCTATTTAATGTTTGGTGGCGTGAAGCGATCCTCATATAAAAAAAGAGAAATTATTAGCTTGTCGTGTATATTTTGAACTCAATTTATTTATCGAAATCTACTTATAATCTATGTATACTTTGTACGCTTCAAGCTTTTTGTATCACCTGTGTATGCAAATTGTCTGTTGATACAACACATTCAAGGATGAATTTTACTTGCATTATAGAAAGATATTTATTTTTCATTAGATCTGCCTGCTTTTAAAGCTGACGCATTTCTACCTTTGACAAGTTGTCAATCAAGACATGACATTTCAGCCATTTTCAACATATCCACATATACAGTATGTTATATATTAACATACATCAATGTATAATTAGTCAGCCAATACGAGCGCACTGCATATAACCTTAGTTAAACCCGAAGTGGACCTATAGATTGTTTTGCCAAATTGCTTTTGCGCATGTTGCGGTTATTACAAAATAAAAATAAACTTTTTTTTAACCTCAAGACCAATATCTTTTAAATTTTAGGTGGATAAAATAGTTGGTTTGTAAAAAAACGCCTCTTTCTTATCTGTTCCGGTCTCCTTGTTTAACCCAAATGTCGGCTTTGTACAATAGTACAACCAGTGAGTTTTCAGCTAAAGGTCTACTTACATCTGTATATTCATTTGCCACTTTTTTGTTATTTCTTGTATCGCTAATACAATAGCTTGTCACGATAGATAAAAACATTTTCCCAAGAAAATAGTTCGACATACGCCTATTAAACCAATACCAAAGATGCATTTGCAGCAAAGCCAAGTATTTTACATCATTTAAAATGATAAGGCAAAGTGTAGTTCTAATATTTCATACCTCAAGGGTAATTTTACACCATAAATTTATAATAATTTGTTATACTTAACTTTCGATTAATAATGACATTGTTTCGTGTACACTATCTAATCTTTCTATATTTATCATTCTTGGTGCCAAATCTGGTGATTTATAACGCATTTTGGCTTTTTTGTAATATTGAATATCACTTGTCAGTCACCACACATTCCTTGAATTTCTATTTTGTCTACATCTATCACGAATACAGGATCATTTTACATTATATCACCCAAATCAATGTCAGATAAACGCCTTACGAATTTCGAATAAGTCTGAGTTCAAATCGTGTTACCCCTTCACGACGAAGTTACGCAGTCGGTTATAACGCTGATGTTTCACTATTCCATCTAGTAGGCTATATATCTTTTATAAATGTTAGAATGGCGTTTATGTTTAAACTGAAATGATGAATATTGTTACATGTCATGCTTTGTCTCTATTTTTATAAGAACTATAACACATTGATAATATTGAAGAAGTAAACTTCTCAGTAGGACAACATGCTTCTTCTGCCAGCAATATTGTATCCAAAAGTG